ACTTTTTTTACAGGAAACAGCGCCCTCTGCCTCTCATAAAATTTAACTGACCGCTTTGCGCGCCAAATTCAAAGTCGTAATTCCGGGAAAACAATTTGACTCCCAAAATCCCGTCAATCTTGCGCTTTTTGCACCCTTTGGAAGATAAAAATGCCAAGGATTTCAGTTCGTTTAAGTCGTGTATTAAGTAAATTTAAAATTGATGGTCTTTGTTCAATAATATTGCCTTTTTTGATGCAAAAATAAGCTTTGCTTAAATAATAATCATTACATGGTAAAATATTTGTTTTTCTTGTATGCATTTGCGTTTCGGGTGCGTGTTCGGTTACGGATTACATAAAAATAAACAAATAATAAGCGTAAATTGTACCTATCAGAAGTTTTTAACTTTCAACTCTTAAATGATAGTTCTTAAACATATAGATGTGGATGTAATTGATGATGAGTGTGTTTTTGATATTTTTGTGTTTTTTTTTAGCCATTTTGTTCTGCTTATCATCTACAAATGATTAAGGGGTCTGTTCGGGATCGGCCTCTTAAATTTAAATGACAGTGTTCCTCACGTTTTTAGATTATAATGCACATTTTTCATTTGCTTGTTCGATGGTTATCTTTAAAATTTGAACTAGAGTGCTTAAATAATTTAACTAAAGCCGAATCCATAAAAAACAATAATAACTAAACAAAAGCGTTAATTCCAAATAAAATTGTCGGTTTTGTATGAATGAGAGAAAGTGTTGGGTGTGTCAGCGAGTGCGAGAAACTTAGTCTACGGATTAACAAATGAAAATCAACAAAAATCAACTTAAAAGCAGCGTGAAATAAATACCCCTATACGTCTATATATACAATACGATAACACCCAAAATTTAGATAACGAACTGTTGGCCTACAGCATCAGTCGGGAGCGCGACTTCTTGAGCCGCCCGGTGGCACCGCCCAAGCCATCGCCGTTCCAGGACTTGGACTTGGCCCGGAAGTGGCGGTAGGCCTCGTTGTAGGCGGGGTCCAACATGGTGCGGTAGGCATGTGGCTGGCACAGCTCCACATGCGACTCAAAGAAGTCCTTGTAGCCGTTGTGCAGCAGATAGATCTCGGGATAGTGCAGCGCCGGGTAGGCATTGGTGTTCCTCTCCCGATCCAAGTTCCTCAGGAAGCGGGACATTTTCGGTCCACGCTCCGAGGAGAACTCGCAGTGGAAAATGATGATGTTGCGCTTCGGTCCCGACTCATTGTTCTGCTGCTGCTGCAGCTCAGTCTGTTGGACGGTGAGGAACTCCTCGAGGATCTGCTCGGTGGTGTACAGATTCTTGGCGCCCTCGATGTGACCACCCTCAAACTCGTAGGGATAGCGGCAGTCGATGATCCGGTAGCTGGCCACCTGATCGTTAAATTCACCTCTAAGCAGGCGGGCCACTGTTTGGCTGGAGATGCTCTTCAGATCCCGATGACGTCCCTCCATCAAGGGCAGGGCATAGGCTTTGCTGAAGTCGCCGATCAACTCGGGCTCGTTGCGGTTCTCGGAGCGGGCCAGAGCGGTCATGATCTCGGCGTCGTTCAGAGACATGCACTTCCTCAGCGGTGGGGGATGGCTGGTGGTCACCTGGGTGTTTTGGCTTGGTGCAGGGCAGTTCTCCTTCTCAATGGCGGCGCAGCGGTGGCGTTTGCTCTGGATGGGCGAGCAGTTGGCCGATGCTGGCGGTTCCGGGCGCTTGAAGCAATCCCGGGCAGTCTCTGGGGTCTTTGGTGGTGGGGTGGTGGTGCTGGTATTGCTGGTATTGCTCTCCGTCATGCTGAGGCATCGCCTCACCGATGGACGGCGCATGGACAGGCCCGCTGGCGACTTGGCCGCAGGCTGCTCCTTGATCTGTCCACTGATCAGCGAGTTCAGGCCACTGGGGAAACCCAGGGCGCTCTGTTGGCTCTGCGACTCCATCTCGAACAGCTCCATGTACTCATCGTCCATGGAGGACTCCATGGAGCAGGTGGAGGACAGGCTGTTAAAGATGCGGAAGCTGCGGGCCGGTGTGTGCGATGCGACATCGTTGCTGGCTCCTCCAACCGCTGGCAGGATCTTTGGCTGGCGGATGATCTGGAAGCGCTGGGGTGAACCCTCCGGCGAGAGCAGACCCATCAGTTCCGGACTGGCCGACCGCTGTTGATCCTGAGGCGCGGAGTCGTCGTCGTAGAACGACAGCTCCTCCTGGTCCATGCTCATCAGTTCCAAGGAACGGCGGGCACGACGAGATCCACTCATTTTGTTGATATTGCTGGAACTGCTGGTGTTACTGAAAGAGCAAATGAAGAGAGGGGGAGGATTAGTCAACTGTTTGGAAACGAGAAAGAGAGCTGCTTCTTGCTTCCCTAAACTCTCGAAAGAGCGGGTCATTAAACCCAGCTAAAAATACTGGCAAAGTGGTGGTGGTGCTGGCGGCGTTGGTGGTGTAAAAACAACAAGAATAACCGAAAAAAAATATACAGAGGGGTTGTTGTAAATGGGTGAAGGAATAGAAATTGAACAAGAATTGTGAAATTTAATTTGGGAGCTATATTTGTAAGTCCTATTTTGAAAATTATAAAGCTAGCTAGGTATTTTAAAGTGCTGATACACACATTTAACGCTGAAGAACACTATGCTTCTTCTTGATTATTTTTAACATTTGCGGTACTCTAAACGGAATTCCCTTTCGATGCATCTGCTTTTCAGCTTGACTTTTGGGTCACACGTCACGCAAGCGCAGCGATATTAAAAAAAAAAAACAGCACAAAGAACCGCAAAGAACACGAGGGGAAAAAAGGAAAATACGAAAAAATGACTGACTGACGGACAAAACATTTTTGTGGGGCCTTTTGTATTTTTTTTGTGGAGCCTCGCGGAAGCCGGTTTAATGAATGAAAAACGGCAAGCGAACAACAACAACAGCTGAGCGCCAAAAAAATCGGGCAAAAAGTAAACGTGCCGAGCGTGATAAAAAAAATAAGAGCGTAAAAAACTCTTACTTTTGTTCGGCCACAACTTTTGTTTTTTTGTTTTGCTGTTGTTCTTGAACTTGCACTTTTCATCGCGTATAGTTAACTGGTATTCCTGGTGCAAAATAATTTTTTGCTAATCCTTGGGCGGTTTGGTGTAATTACCTGATATTGCAATCCATGCTGCAGTTGGTCTCCTCCACAATTGTTTCCCACAGCATTTTGTTGAATTTTTGTTCTGTGTTTTGGGGGGTTGTCGAAAAACTGAAGATTTTTGATTTCGTTTGCGAGTTTTTTGTTGTAGCCGAAAAATTGCTAAAACACAATATTTTCTTGGTCACACTTCACTCATTTACAGTTGGTTTGTTAAGAATTTTGGATGGTAGTGGTAGTCCTTTTGGTTTTTGGCTAATATTGCATTTTAAATGTTGATGTTTTTTTTTTGTTAATGTGTCCGTTTCAGCATGTTTTTTTTTTAGTTTGGTGTGTGCTTGTGCGAGGGTTTGTATGATGTTAATAACTGTGAACCGCACAAACTCAGGTCACCGAACGAGGAACCGAAAGGTAGAACAAGAAGAGCTGTTGACTCGACGACGAACTGAGAACGAATGTGCCTGCTCTCTCGCCACAGCTGGTTTTTATAACTGCAGCCCTGCCGAGGATCGCGGCAGAGAGAGCGGGAGAGCCGGCGCACAGCTGATGAAGCGAGAGAGAAATTAGTTAGTTCTTAGTTCCTTTTTCGGTTCTTTGATTCCATTTTCCTTCTTAAGAAATAGAAGTGAGAACGAGATGGAGCGAAACCCAACACATAACGGCGAGTAAAACCCATGTGCCAAAGGAGGAGGGAAATCGGAAAACCTAGAAAAACCGGGATAATATGGTTTCGGAATCTCTGCCTTTTGGAGCGTTCTCTGCAACAGGTAGAATCCTAGCCCGAAATCCTTTCCCCTACATTTCCCCTCGCTACGCAGCGAAAGAAAGCAAAGAATATCCCGAGAATCCAGAGGAGAAACAGGCGCCTTGGTGGTCGCCAGTCCTATTGAGGCATCTGATTTTGGCGCGCGAGCTTTTATACTCAGACGCTTAGCTTCCGAAGTGGAGCCGAAGTCCCCAGAAGTGGAGCCGAAGCCCCGAACACATGTGCAGAAATAGTGGAGCCCTCCGAAGAAGAAGAGAGCGGGAACCGAAGAATCTCGGCGAATCTTTAAGCAGAATTTCAAGGCGGCATCGATTGTGTCGTTTGCAGGTAATAATGTGAGATCCACGCATTCCTGGTGTGTCCCCCGTAACCCCCTGGTATGCTTCCCCATCTCCTTGCAAAAAAATCAGCAGGTAGTGGCCGCAGTCATATGATCGCCGCATCGGCGGGATGGGGCGGCTGTGGACTGGGGGCGTGGCTCCTTTGTGTTCTGCAGACGTAGACGCCAATGTCGTTAAATGAGCAAAGCTTCCAGCCACGGATCCATTTACAGGGGAGACCAATTAAGATGAACGGATGAATGTAGTAATTGGGGTGCTGACATACATACATACATACATAGGTGAGTTTTTCTAAGAGTTTTATTTTTGTCGCCGCAATGTTATTATAAAAATAGTATTGTTCTTAGAACTAAGCTAGGGACAAATTTGTGATTGTACAGTTTGGCGGACTATAACACGTGCGTTTAAATATTGATAACCCATATATGTATGTACATACATACATATGTATGTAATTGTCTTGACTTAAAAGAAACAAAGCTCTCTTAAAGAAGTTCGTCTGTAGCTTTGTGTTTGTGCGAAATCGCGGCAAAGTTAAAGCAGAAATCGAGTTACATATGCGCCGAAGCCCTGCGGGAGTCATTTTGATGGATCCAAGGGGCTTGTGAGGGGGACGAACACCCATGGGCTGCAGTCCGAGTGTGTTTTTGTAAAATCTTCAGCAAACAAATAAAATACTGACAAGGAAGGCCAGCTGATATCATTCGCATTATCTCAAACTAAGCAATAAGCGAATGATTTTTTTGGAGAACCTTAGCCGAAACCTCCAAATGAGCTACGGTTTCATTCCGCTGAATTCCTTTGGTGAGCTTTTGTTGTTACTGCTGCAGGAAGAGCCGAGGGGATCATCTTTATGGAAAACAACCAACAAGGAGGGCAGCAAAAAACAACAAAAAGGACGCAGAAATCATAAAGTGGGTTTGAACAAGTTAAAAAAGCGCATAGGGGAAAAAAGGAATGAAAAAGCTCAGACCTCAATCTCATTCATAGTAAGCGGTGCGAAGACAGTGGTTCAAAATTCAAATTTTTGGTTAAAAACTAGATCCCACTGTAAGATAATGAATCATTTTATGACAGAAAACTGTGTGCTTTCGTAATACCAATTTGGGAAATAACACTTATTTATTTTCTATTTAGTACATACATACATACATGCCACGTGCTTTGACTGTTATGTTTTGGTAGCGGAAGCAGATGGTATTCAAACTTATTTATCCGACTTTAAGTGCCAATTTAAAACCGATTGAGAAAGTGCCCAATGAGTAAATGTACATATTTCCATTCAGTTCTTATCTAGCTTTTTACCCAGCCTTATAATAGTTTTATAATTTGTATTTCAGATACCACCGTGCTATCGGCGGCAGCCTCCAGAATCGGAGAGCAGAAGAAAAGGGCAAAACGAAAAAATCAAAAACGTATGCAAAAAGCACACTCGCACACCACATATGTGTGTGGGTAAATTTGATAAAGAATGAGAATAGGCTGCAGAGAAAGAAATTGCAGCAACAATTTTGAATGGGAATGGAGCACAACAATAGCGGGGGGACCTACAAAACATAAAAAAAATCAAGACAGGACCAACAAAATGTGAAGAGCTAAATTGTAAATCGAAATTCCAAGAAGTGGGTTTTGAGCATCGGTTTTTTTTTGCGGTTCGGTTCGTCTGTGTATTAAAAAGCCTGTGAAGTGTGCGAAAAAAGCGTTTGAGATACTTTTACGCGCGCGCGCGCATTTCGCAAATCGCTGACGAAAAGGGTTAAGGGTGGGGCGGTGGGCAGGAATGGGTTAAAGGCTGGGCGGTCCCAGTTTGCCAATGTGTGTGTGTGGCAGACAATGCAATGCAATTAGAAGAAGGCGCAAAGAGGAGCCCAACAATTGGACGTCTAGGTGAGATATGTTGTATGTATTGGTAACTTTTTTAAATCTTAATTTTTTTTTAAATTCTTTTTAAATAATATACGTCGAAACCTACTAGAAATAATATGTTTGCAAATAATACAATAACATTTTAATTCGTGCAATGGGCTAATATGTACATATGTACATATGTACTTACTCACAAAGAAAAGGATAAATTAATTCATTCTTTTAAGTAAATCCTTAAGTCTGTAGTTAAATTCTTAACCATTAAAAAAAAAATGGCCCAATTATACATTTTTTGCATTCCTCGATATTGCCCCAACAATTCCTTCCAATTACCCAACAAATCTCAGGGGTAAAGGTGTGGACAGGGGAAATCTCTTAGTACATAAGGTGAGAAGAGACGAGTAGAACCGCACACAGATACTGATTAGAACACATACCCATGGACACAGGACGAAGAAACAGTTAGATAGGGATAGCGGTCCCCTCTCTCATATGTTCGATCAGCTGATCAGCTAAGGTCCAGGACCGAAGGATATGAACAGCAGGGAGACCGAAATTAGTCCTGCTGTGTGAGTGTGAGTGAAGGGGAAAGGGAAGGGGGAAGGATAAGAAGGAGAGGACACAACATGCGCGCGCAAATTCCTTAACACGAGCTGAGAAAAAGAGAGAGAGAGGGAAGGAGAGAAAATCAAGGGGGTGGGGGCAGGAGGAAGGACGAAGGAGGCGCGGCGCTGCGCTGAGATTTCTCGGGAGAAAGAGAAGTGGAGAAGTGCAGCGCTGGCGAAGAAGTAGGTGAAGAGCAGGGAATTGCCTGTTTCTTTTTTTTTTTGCGCCAAAACCTTTTTTCGTACTGGTGTGTGTTCGTGTGCAGGACTCGTTTCAGTGGGAAAGGGAGGGGGCGAAAGAGGAGTTCGATCTGTATTCTGTTTATCTTTCGCTGCCTTCTCCTTTGGCCGTGATTTCTTGCAGTCTTTGTCGCTCCTTGTTGTCTTTTTGCCTTTTTGTTATATTTATGTATTTTTTTAGTCGCGTTTTGTTCGTTTTCCTCGTCTACAAACTGATTGTGAGAAATATTGTATCTTCGAGATACATTTCGTTACTTGACTTTCCGCTGCGTGTCGCGTTCTTCTTTCATTTTTCACTTCGCCTTTAGTGGTCTTGCCCCACTAATTGATTCTCTGCATAAATTTTATTTAAAGCTTTAATAAATGTCAAAATAAGCAATTCATTTCGATGTTAGAGAACGCACACCCATATACTATATGCTCACGTTGCGGTCCATTGTCAGTGGAATGAAGCTCTCTCCGGGACAATCAATTGCCGGGTTCAGAGTTTAAATGTGGAAGAAAGCTGAGAAAGAGGAAATCAATTGTCCATTAGTGCTGAATGAGCCGGGATCTCGATGGGTGGGTGTTGTGTCATCATGTGATTTGTGGGAAAGGAAGTTACCGTAATCAACAGGAAGACCGTTGCTCTGATTTCTTGGTTCAAGCTTTGTATATATAGTTGAAGTATAGCAGTATTATTTGATGGGATAACCATAAGCCCTGTATAAAAGAAAGCCTTTAAAGATCCATCATCTTTGTAACTCTATAAAAATAATGACAGCCTTTGAGCAACATCATCTTGCAGACAAATCTGGCAAATAATAGATCTGGTAAATTTCAAATAAGAGTATCCAAGAAACATAAGTTATGATCAACATAAAAACGTTTCCTTAAAGGTTTTGGGGATATGCCCGCCCTACACTGGTTTTCTGATAAACTGAGTTCAAGTTTTCCCCCTGACACTCCAAGTTCCGAGTGTTGCAGTTGTTTGTTGGCAGGGCACTATGCAAATGTTCTTTTTTTTATAGCTTTGTCGAATGATATGGAAGTACAGGCGCTCATATCTGAACTATACAGCAGCCTCAGGAAGTACTAATCAACGTTATTTCTCTGTGCGTACTCTCTGTTCCGTCACTCTCCAAACATATTTTTAACGGCCGGGAGGTACAACAAAAGTTAGTATTGTGTGGCAAAATGGGGAAGTGGGGGAATGCGGAGAGTTCCATATGTAGATCAACATACAGACGTAGTTCGCGCTCCTCTAATAAGCGAACAATGTTCTTGACACGCTTAGATATGGCACATGAATTCTTATTAACCCTCTCGAGGGGTATAATAATTTTTGAACTTTCATATATAAAAAAAAGTATTCAAATGTAACCGTAAATGAATGCTAAATCTTAACCTATATGATCTAATTTGGTCAAATACTAAAAAAAAACAACTTTTTGAATAGCTTTTTCTTAGCCACATTTTTATTATTCTCTGATTATTCTTACAAGTAAAAGAGTTAGAGGGTACAAGCATAAATCAATCTGTTAAGTATAAATTAAAAAGGAATATTTTCAACCTTTTTATTTTCTTTCATTTATGTTTTTTTTTTTTAGCCCAAGGGTATCCAAGCTTCGATCCCCAAAAGCATCCATACTTTTATGTTTATTTAAATATGTTTATGAGTTGTGCGCATTTCTATTCGATTTTGATATGCCTGTCGCACATATCGGGGTTTCCAGGCCAGTTCGGGGTGATGCGAAAATAAAGATTAGATTGGAATCCGAATAGGGCTCATCTGCCTGCCACATTGCTGCCAGGCGAAAGAAAAGCAATGCGATGAGACCCCATCAAAGAGCACACGCTGAGTGCCACTTGAGTTTCCCAGGCCTTTTTGGTCTATAACTCCAATGTGATCTGTTTTGGATTGGCAAGGTTTCCCACAACACCCCCTCCCGACTTGGGATAGTGCGATAGCTCCGCACTGTATTGGCAAACACAATTAGTTTGTGTTTTACTGGCAATTTTCTATATAATTTGAATAGAAGCAGCGGCCGGTCCTTTGTCCCGGTCAAGTGGATGGTCATTTATTCAGGACTCGGCACATGGCCGTTCCTTTCTTGCGACTCCGCACGGTTTTGTTTTCGCCAAATAGCAATTTGGGTGACAATGTGTGCAACAACACAACTAAAACAAGTGGCACACACAATGAAACAGTTTTGATCTTCTTTCCGTCCGTCCAATGTCTTCCGAAAACTGTCCGGCGGTCAGTGCAAAAATACTGTTGTTCTTGTCACATGCAATCGGACCGATTTGGTTCCCACACAGCAGGCAGTTGGGATCTTTCCTTTTTTTCGGTTTTTTACGAGCCTTGGATGACTTCTCAAGTGGTTCGACTTTTTGGCGCGCAAATCTTCGGCTGTGTGGCCCAGATTATATAGGGGTTCTTAAAATAGCATCCACAATAACCTTGTCGCCAAGCGGCAAGATAAGATATTTTAATAAATTATTATTGCCTTGAGGGAGCAGTGATGCAATCTTTATGTGTTTTTTGTTAAAATCAGGTTCCATTTGTATAATTTATGCTAATTATTGCCTGTGTTGTAGAAACAAAAATAGTGAAATCTTTAAAGTCTAAAAAAAATGTATGAAATATTGAAAATGTTGTTTTTTTAACACCAAGAATAAGCACACTCCTTGATTTTTTGATTTTAAAATCCCTTGGTCGAACAATAAACCCTCTGCGTGTGATATATTGCTCACCCCTTTGATGATGGTCAATATTTTATTTGTATATTAATATCAGCCACGCGACTGGCCCACGAACTGACCAGTGGTCAAGCTAATTTCCCGGACCAAGCCAATTTCCCGGATGGCCTGGGGAACTGTCGGAAATTAATCAAGAAAAAGGAAAGAGGCAACCCTTCAATGGTGGCGAATCCTTTTTCCTTGATCCCTACATGTATGCACAGCATGTAATTAATTGATTAACGTTCTTAGGGATAACATTATATTCCCTAGATTGATGTGAGCCGATCTTATCGCGTTACAAACTCGAAAGCGGCGCATTCTTCAACACATTTGGCCCAACCCTTTCATCGGCGATTTGTTTTCTTTTTTGTTTTTTTTTTCTTGGCCTGTCCAGATCTGGGACAATGAATATGGGATAAGATGATGAGGGAGGGTTGGAGAAGTTCAGGCATCTCTGGACCCACTCTAGAAAGCTGATCTTGATCTTCATCTTTATGTTGCCTAATGCGCAGTTCTTGTGGTTCTCGGAAATAGTCGGACTTTTGACAAATTCCCCATGACACGAGGGGAAATCAGTCAAAAAAATCATCTTAAGCATGTCCTGGTCCAGTGATTTTTCAATGTCTGGCCGAATTACACAGCACATTAGACGACATCGATGTGCTCGTGGTTGTTGCATAATCAGAAAGCGTTATTTTCCTCAGGCAGCTGCACCCATTTCGCACAATTTCCATTTCCATTCCCATACAGGATAGGTTAGGATGGGTTGGGATATGAGAGGTCCTGGGATCAGGACGAGCTCGTTCGCCTTGGAAGGGGCAAGAAGGCAAAAAAGCAGGAATGCCGGAGAGCAAGTCTCAGCAGCAGGACGGCCAATCGCATTGTTTTACTAACAACATCAAAGTTATGACAAGATTTTGTCTATCACGTCGTTCCCCACCCCAAAAATTCAGGCGGAGGGAGGGTTTCGAGATGCCAGCGATCGACGGACTGTCTGAGTTCCTGAGTTTTCTTGCTCCGACTGACTGACAGCACCTTTCCCTTCCTCACCTTCAGATGCATTACGATTCGAATTTCAAATTTAATCGCATATACAAATTTTATTTATGTGACATGGGTGCATTTTACCCCGCTGCCGTGGGATGAGTTCCGGAAAACTTAAAGATCCCTGATCGCCCCGAAGACATCAGCAAATGGTCCATGTCAATTTGCAATTGCCTCCTGTCCCTATGCAGTTTCCAGTGGTTTTCGGGTTGGGTGGTGGTGCTGGGTTCGGTGAGGGGGTTGCATAAGAAAGTTGATCTTCTGGGAAGGAAAAGAGATCAATAGGGATTCTCCACTTCCGATTTTGGCCTGCTTTTCAAGCAGTCCATGGGAAAAGTACACGAATCGATTAGGGGTCATTTTTCACCGGAGCTAAATTTAATAAGCAAAAAAAATGAAATGATATATTTCCCACCATTTATATCAATATTTTGAGAGGGGCTATAAATTTAACAAATCAAAATAATTTTCCAGAAAATCAAAACCATTCTTAAAGCTCTGATTCTAGACTTTATACCAATTATTTGTTCTATGCTGATGTCTTGTCAACATTTTTAAACAAATAATGTAATTTTCTTCTATATTTAAACAATCTGAATACAGATTATAATTATGGCAAACAATTGAATGAAATTGTAGTTATTCCATATACCTGAAAAATTTTACAAAAATGTATCTCTTATTACAAATCGCCTATTATGAAGATAGATTCTTAACAGTTAATAACTAATGTATCTATTTTGAGGTTTCGGAAAAAAAGAAGATATTGAGTGATCAATAACTGATATGGGAGGAAATACCTTCCTTGAACCTCAGGATTATCCGCAGAGTGGGCAATCATATCTCAAAACGAAAACCGCCAGCATTACCACTGTGAATATCCATCCGGAATTGGAAGGCGTTACAAGTGCAATCACATGCTCATCGCATGGATTGTTGGACTGCAATCTTTTGCCGGAATATCAGTAATTGCACACATTCAGCACATTGTGGCCCAGACAATGGGCACATGACGTTTATGAATTCTTCGACAAGTACACTCCATCGATCCATCAACTGATCCTAACCATCCTCGCCATATGTGTGCAATATTAATCTGCAAAACAGAAATTTGGGAGTTCGTCTTGTCATCTTTCTTTCTCTTTTTTTTAATACTTGTCAGCGCCTGCCGTTTGGCACACAAATGAAGTCATTGTTAGCAGTTGTCAATGCAGCCACGCCCAGGGCCGCCCCCCGCCCACGCACTATGTAGATGAAAATTCGAAAAATTTTTAAAAATAATTCCCAAATTATGGTTAAAAATGCTTGTGGCGGCAAAACAATCTGAGCTGCCACTGAGAGCGGGAAAAGGTTTTGCTTTGTTTTTGAGGGCTTACAATCTTCTCAAAAGGAGTGTCCGCCGATCCAGCCCATAATTAACTATTCAAACAATGGGCACGCACAAAGGGATCAGCAATCAAATACACATACACACACTCGCTTTCGGAACTTGGTATTTCGAGTCACGTTTGCTGACACAAATCCTTCTTAGGAAAGGCAATATTTCCTAGTCATTGCCGATGATCAACTCAAACATCATCATCATCAGCAGCAACCTGAGCCACCTGAAGATGCGCACAGTGCTGTCAGGATGTGATTTTAAAAACTAGACGATTCGAGCTGAATATAAATATTGAAAAAAAGGTGATTCAAAAATGGTTTTTATAGTTTTGTATAAACTTGTTCATAGTTTTTGTTATTAATTGTTGTAGTTTATAAATTAATTAGCTTTCCAATCAAAACTCTGGCTAATCTCTCTACATTATAATTTTTAATAAATTCTTAGATTAAAATTATTTTTTGAAATTTTTTCATACTGAAAATTTATTTTAGTAAAAGTTTTCATGAGCTACGAAATTTCAATCTATTAAATGTAGTATTTAATATCAGTGATTACTAAATCGAAATATATAGAAAAAGGAAAGACCATTCAGATTTGGCTATAAAATACCCAAATTGGCATAGCTGGATGGGAAACCTTATTGACAGGTCCCCCGGTCTGTGCATACCAAAGCAGATTGCGCAGATTTCAAAAATGTTAGAAACGAGAAGACAGCCACAACAACACCGCTGATTTTGGGTACGTGAGTTTGTCTACCTATTGTTCGGATCCCAGGGAACTGAGCTGCAACCTGTTCCGTGCATTCGGCGTAAGGTGTTCCCTTCCTCCCGCGATCACACCTATGTATACCCTATAGCCCGTTCTCGGATCCCAGCCGAGTTCCCAGCGTGTGTGTGTCGCTTGCCAAGCATCAGACCAAGTCAAGTCCAAGTCCAAGTCCAAATAGCCTTGACAGCCCTGGCTCATAATTCACTCACTGCAGGTTTGAATTTCTACAAAAATAACTTCGTTTGCATTGCATGTCTGGGACTGGGACCCGCCTTTGGGCATGTCTTTGGCATCCGATATATAATATATTTTCACTTTGTATCTATAATCTGCACAGAGTCATGTGTGCATAGTTCTGTGTCTTGATTGCTGGATTGCTGGTGCGTATCATATTTAAAAGGTGATATATGGGGTCTTAACTTGCTTGAGATGGCTACTAAAAAATTGAGCTCTAAAAAATATATGAAAATTAAATTATCATTTAGAAACAAAAATAAAATATAATTGTGTCATTATGCCACTCCCATGAAATCATTACACAGCATTTTCTTTTCTTTTTATATATTCATCGCAGTGTTTCTTAACGAGATTTTCTTGTAGGCACTTGAATTTCATTATTTTTTTTTTGTTAAGATAACATTTCCTTTGATTCTTGTATTTTTTTTTAATTTTATTAGAATTAGATTTTAATAAAGGGTGTTTGTTATGTGTTTCTAAATGGATTATGATGCGTTTTCATCAAAAATTTAAATCCTTACAGAATAGTATTTTATTATTGAATCTTAATTACCAAATATTCCTTCCTTCCTACTTTGCCCGCTTGAAATGTCTCAATTTAAATACTTAATTTGCCACGTCTCGCCTCACGCCCACAAAAGTAAACAAACCCGTACACCGTGATCTGCATTTTCGTAGAATCCTTTCAATTTGGCACGTGTGCCGGATACAATTTTCATCGAAATTGCCATGGAAATCGGTGGGCACGTTCTACGCTGCATTTTCCTATGTAAGTCGTACTCTTCTGTTCGTCCCGCATGAAATGTATTTATTTTCGACAAAATATATTATTGTTAATATGCATCGCTCACAATAAGGTCCCTTTTGTGAGCGAGGAGCGAAAGGATGTGCGATTGTATTTGCATTAAAGTGGCATTGTTAGAGGGCCGGCATCAGGATATCAAACTCAGAATGTGTAGAGGGTGTGTATGCGCCAGCAGATCCTTTTGTCAGCTGAAAATGCGCGAAAGTGTGGCGCAGGCGCAGCAGGAACTGGATTTGGATCAGCTTCAGATTCGGATTCAGCTTCAGAGTCGAAATCAGGACCTAGCGCACGTGCGTTGGAAATGGGAAGCGTTCACCCCCGGGCTGGAAAATGAAAACAAGTGAACGCCATTTCCGCACGGCTCGAGTCCTTTAATTGATCCTGCATGGTGGTGGTGGCAATGCTAATGCTAATGGTGGTGCTGGTGGTACGGGTGGCAGTGATACTGCTGGTGGTGGTGGTAGTGGTGATGGTGGTGGCGTTGTCGTTATCCTGGTACAGTGCGCAGGACCAGCGCCAGGATAATGCGCGTGTGAATCCAACGGCTGAGACTGCGCGAGAGGGTGGCAGGCGGTTCACTGAACGAAAAATCCTTTCCGAAATCTCAACAAATTGTAAATGTCGTTTGGGAACAGAGACATCTCTGAATTTTCTTTAAAAATTTAATACCTAACAATATCCGATTTTAAGTGAGTTTTTTTTTCTTAAAACATAAAAAAACTAAAATCACGTTTTATGAAGGATATCTATACTACTTTTCAGATCGCATACGACATTTCTATCAGAGATTTGGTTGTTTGGAATCTCTAGGCTTTTGCACCAGATTTTCGGTTCAGTGTGCAATTGGTGGTGGTGTTGCTGCTTTTTTGGGGTGGTTGTCAACCCCCAGGATATGGCACGTTCCCGTTGTAAGTTGTAAACAGGCAGGTGCAGTCTCATGCTGGCGGCGGTTGATGATAGTCCCGTAGTCCTGTTGTCCTGTTGTCCTGGCTCTGATTTCGATGAGCCATTTCACTCCACCGCTGGTGATGCTGCTCCTACGGGCGGCAGCTGCACTCGAGTCCTTGCGGAGTCAACGACCGTGTGCAGCTTAATCAGTGCGGTGATTACATGGGTGACATAAATCAGGGCGGTACATCAACGAAATTAGAGGCAGCTGCAAAAGCTCTCTACAAAATCACCTTCTAAACAAACTCAATGTCGCAGCTGGGTACAGTCTGCGCTTTATGTTACTCAAGGCTAAGGACAATAGTCAGTTTTGTGAAAGCCACCGACCACAGATCACGAGAACAAGATAATCCCTTAAATAAATATGTTACACTTAGGGACTTTATAAGCTTAACTATTGCATATTTCTGAATTTTTAAATAACGTTTTTTTTAAGACCTTATTACTATTTACAAATTTCACATTCAGGCCAGTCCCAGAAAGATTCTTTACATATAGTTAATAGTAAGGGTCATACAATTTAATAGTAATGAATAATTACTTATATAACCGAATAGATTCTTTCTTTTATATTTAAGACCAATTTTATTTTTCACTTTGGTTCAAATTCAAAATTGAAACAACGTGAGCCCCAATAATAAAACCTTCAAAATTTGTAGAAATATAATTGAGAAGTACTTATTTCCATCAACATTGATCGGCACCCTCTTTTAAATATCGACAGCTGCAAAAGCTCTGTGGCCCCGTCCAAACAATCTTGAAATCGCAGCTGGGTAGAGTCCACTCTTTTCGGCATTCGCTGTGCCGGACAATAGTCAAATTTGTGCAATAGAACGGCAAGCGAATGACCACAGAAACGGAGGACATTGTCGGGCACACCGGGCCATCTATCCGTCTATCCACAAAAATAATCGGCACGAGGCAAGGCAACACTCTGGCGCAGCCTGCTCCCTCCGAAAATCATATAAATTACTGGCAGGACATTAGCTGCGCACAACGGTAATCATTGCGCAATGTCACCAAGAGCGGCTGTGTGTGCAAAAATCTTTTTGAGGAAGAAATGGAATCAAGAAATCAACAATGCATCGCACAATGGCCAGCCAAGGAAAATCAGTGCAGCACCGGGCTCCTGGCGCACATCTTGCAGTTCCCTTTCCGCCAGGACAAAAGGACCCAATGTTTATGCCATTATTCTTCCGGCGCACATCGGCCCATTGTGCGTTGGATATTCCTCGCATTCCCCGATTCTGCTTCTGCTTCTGACGGGCAGCAGCTTCCATCCCCGAATCGCCGGTTTCTTCCGTCTCCAAAATGCAATCATTGTAATCGATTTTGCACAATTTCCAATGCTCAAGACAGTCGTCAAGACGTCACAGGGGTGGGTAGTGGTGCACTGAGAAAAAAGGGGGAATATCTAAAATAGGTTAATGAAATTGAGGAAAAATTAAAAGATAATAATTTATTAAACCGCTGTTGGCTTTCAGTTTACTAAGCAAAATGACTTTAATTTTAAATATATATATATATACATTTTAAATGATATAGTTAATACATTATAGAACATAGAATACTTCATAGAACATTTTATTATTATTATTAAAATACTATTTTTAAAATAGTACTTATACTCTGTTTAAAAATTATTATTAACCCCTCCTTAAACTCTTGAAAAAGACTAGTTTCAAAACTGAGCTTTGTTATTATTAATTATACATTTATACAATTTTATAAATTTATAAATGTTTATTAGCTAATAAAAACGGCATACCAAAATAAAACAGTAGTAAAGCCAAATATTAGGAAAAGATATATAGATATATAAAAACATTGGAAATTGAAGGTTCATTTCATAATGAAGATCCTACTGAGTTTTTTTTTATTCCTTTTTCAAATAACAACCTAGAAAACCGGGTTCTCTTTTTGGTTAAGTGTAGCTGGTCCTTGGCAGGACGAAGCTAGACGCCGCCACCTGGAAGAACGCAGCGTTTCATCCCCCTGAAGTCCACAGCTGATCGTAGCTCGTGCCAAAGTGCGCGGGGTTTTCGTCTTGAAGGAGGAGGCCAAACTGTAACACGGCCGGCCGAGCCAAGCGGATCGGGCAAATGCAGCGAATAATGAGGTCCTGGCAGCCGGCTTTGCCGCTCCTTCTTCCGACCACTCACCCTCACGACTCCTTCGATCCCACTCCTACTCCTTAGCGTCAGAGTCAGCCTGACACCTTCAATTTGTGTTTTCTTCGGCGCAAGCCAAGCCAACCTTTCGGTTACCAAACATCTGTCCCATATTTTGTGCGGTTTTAATGTGCGGACTGATGTTTTCTAGGTGCCAGCGACCTTATCGCAGGGCGACAAATTCGGTAAGTGATCCCTAGCTAAAAGGGGTCTCCAAAGTAATTCCAGCCAAGTATCCCCCCAGCAAATGCCTTAATGACCTACCAATGCTCCTGGGTTCTTGCTGCGCTTTGCTGGCTAATGAGTTCGATTGGGGGGCTAGTTGTATAGCAGAACTGGAATCGAAAATATCCACAGGGGTTGGATCCCCGCCAATTGAACTCTAGTTTAGCATAATTGTGCTTAATTTGGAATTATTGATCTGCTCCCCCATTACCCGATCAATTTTCATAAACAGTTAATGGACACAAGGTGAAAATAATGCTATCCTATGCAAATATGGGGCTTGAAGCAGCTTGCAGTTGGATTTTCCGTTAAGGAGCATAACCATAAATAAATATCTTACTTAAGCCCTGAAATTATGTACAATTACCTTGGGGATACCAAAGTTATAGGTTTGGAATTGTCTGAATAACTTTATGTATTATTTTCTCCTAATTCCCATATTGCCTGAACAACTTGATATTTGTTTAATTTCTCTAAAAAATATGTCGAAAAAGTATTAGAGCTAAGAACCCACAAACAAAACAAAGTCTTTCCTTTTTTACCAATGGGTCACACAAAAAAGCGACATTTTTCTCGTCAGCAAAAAAATGTAACAACTCAAACATTTACAAGATCCCCACCTAAAAAAAATATTGTGGTATATTAACCATTTCTTTGTACTGCTCCCCTTCCGTGGGATATCACAATCTAAATATAGTTCGGCATAGTATGACTAATCCCCTATTGCTTATCACGTGTAATAGATTTCTGGGAAGTTTGTGTCTGTTTTTTATATCGTCCATAGATAGGGGGTGTATGTGGCACGCTCTAAGGAAGTTCAACGAACTGTTTGCTTTGTAGTCCCTAACCTAAGACATTTGCAAGATAAGTGCCCCACATATGCGCTGCTCGGAATAATTTCATTCCATTTCCACCCCGACTTTTCCGATCCACAACCATCCCCACTCCTCCCCGCGGAATTCTTAGCTCTAACGGAACCGCTGCATTTTCAGCAGCATATTAATTACATTTGGGGTCATTGTCACGCCGGCAGTTTCATTTATTTATGTAGCAGAGTCAACGCATAAATGTCGGCAACTGTTTTCTCCCCTCCGGTACTCCTCACCCACTATAATTTTTGGGACAACTGCACCATTTCAGTAGGTTTCCTCACCCACAAAATGCATAGTTTTGTTTTGGGTGGAAGCGACAAAGCAGAGAGATAATATTAACATCAGATAAAAATGTTTATTAAGCTTATTTAAAATATTGGTAAAAAATATAGATGGTACATACTTATAAATAATGCACTGAAGCTATGAGCTTTTAGGTCAAAGTCTGTATCAAAATTTTAGCACTTAATACAAAACCTTTTCTGCTTTCATTTTCAAATATTTTTCATCTTGTTAACATTTTTTGACAGATAAAAGTTTATAGAGTAACAGAATTTACATTGCGGTTGTGAAAAAGCCTTTGCCTGGTGAGGATTACCATGAATAGCTAATTATGTCTCGGAAGACACACATAGTCAAAGATTCCCGTTTGGACAGTCTCATCAATATTCCTGGGATTCCAAGGAAAGTCTAGTCGATCGATCGGGTGGTTAAAGTGGTGGTGGTGGTGGTGCTGTGGCTGGTAGTTACTGGTACTGGTACTCGTACTGCTACTGGTACTGGTGGTGCTTTGCTGCTAATACGAGTACGAGTTCAAGACGAATGCCAGGATCAAGTTGAACCCTCCGCCCTGGCAAGGAACTGCCTTCGAGCAGCTGCTCCTTGTGGCTCTGACTTGGAGAGTTTTCCCTGAGACTGAGACTGGGACTGAGGCTGTTGCTGAGTCCCTGCTTTTGGCCCCTTGCCACGATTCATTAAATTTTTGCTTCATTTCAAATGCGATTGCATGGCCCTGTCTGTGTGCCCGTGTGTCCTTGCGACTGGCGTTGTGTGAGTGCAAGGAGCAGGATTACCGATGGGCGATTGAGGTGGCATATGCGTTTTCTTGGCGCGAGCTATGTGGCAAAT